GGGAACTAAGACAGTTGGAATGACGGCTACATTCTTGGCTGGTGCTGGTAAGATGGTAGGAAGCTTTCTGATGCTTGAGGCTGCGGTGACACTTGATGGTGCTTGTGTCTTGCTCGATGGTTTGGGTGGGGCAGGAAGAATGGCTGGGAGGGGTCTGGATCTAACTTGCGTGGTGACAGTTGGGGCAGACAGACTAGGTGTTATTTGGGTGGGACATGGCTTGATGTTGACAGTGGTTAGAACTGGAGCAATTTTATTGTCCTTCTTAGAAGTGGACTGTGTGACAGCAAGGGTAGTCAATCCAACACCTAAAATATATTTTAAAAAATAGATCAACTAAAAGGTCCAGAAGCCTTTAAAAAGGTAATTACTAAACTGTTAAGCCTTTAATCCCTATTAGTACTGTAAGTATTCTATTGCAAATCCCATATTTTGTGTACTTAAAAGTGTAATTCAGACTGAAACTAAAAATTCTAAGGTCTTAATAATTTGTTATATGGCTTAGAAAAAAGAGGGTTCCATTAAAAAAAAGTTCTGTGTTTGGACTTTGGTCTTTAGCTGGACCTGTTTCTAAAGCATGCAAAGGATTTTCTTTACTTGCAATCGGCGGCAAAATGAGTTGAGACACTTTGCCCAAAACTGGGCTTTTTGAAGTTTTACTAACTTCAAAAGGAGGAAATATAGCTTTTCCTCCCCCTTCCCCTCCATGCAATGTTGTGCCGAAATTTGAGCTACCTATAGAAAACAACAAACATCCCAACTTTGAATGGAGGGGACAGGGGAGGGGCACAGATTCTTTTGTTCACCAAAGTTACCCTATTTGAGTACAATGTCTCAACAATTTTGTCGCTGATTGTGGGCATTAAACTATGTTATGGGACAGTTGGTCACCATTTTTTAAAAACTCTAAAATATTAAATCTGATGTAAATTGCCGCTTGCAACATCCTTGTAAAAATCTCTTCACATTCATAATAAAGTCAAACCAACCTTTATGGACAATGGACACCTGCTTAATATGGACACCTCATTATTATGGACAGACTTTTCCCTGGGGGAAGAAAGCCCCTCTCTACATTCAACCAGCTTAATACCAGGGTTGTCAGTAAGATTTCAAGTTGCCGCGTAAATACATCAAGTAGGTGGGGAATCAAACAGGCAGGGATTTCTTTTGGTTTTATTTTTCTTCTTTTTTCAAATGAAAGTTGCTGGGAGCCACATTCATAGTAGCCAGGGAAAATCCCTGGCCCCTGGCTCTTTATGACAGCCCTGTTAAACTGGACATGCTGTTAATATAGACACTTTCTATGGCCACCTCAGTGCCCGTATTATTAAACAGGGTTTGACTAAAGTAAAATCCATCATTCTTTATTACCACACACATGACAAGTTGCTTGCCACAAGTCCTTCATAGCTCAGTGGTTAGAGCATCCGAATAGTGTACGGAACGTCATAGGTTCAATTCCTGTTGGGGACTCAGTTTTTTTTGGATCATTTTACGTTTCTGGGAAACTGCCCACCTACCAATCCCCTAAGCCAACATTTTGCCCTAAGTGAAAAGAAAGTGTTAATGTTGGCTTAGGGGAGGGGTAGGTGGGCAGTTTCCCAGAAAGGTAAAATGATCCGATTTTTCTTTGTCCAGTGCTCGTGACATGTTGATCACATCACTTCTCAAAAACCCTAGCTGCATATTAAAACTGAATAGCCATACAATAATTTTTAAAGCACAATGGAACTAAAAAGGTGATTTATTTCAGCCATTTACCTTGTGTCTTAGTGACGACTATTCCCTGAGAGGAGGTAGTGGGGGCAGAAACCGTTGGAGCAGGCTGCAAGGGAGCTGGGACTGAGAGAACCACTCTCTTTGTCCCACCTACTAGTGTTGTCATGACAACAGTTTTTGATGCTGATGGTGCTGCTTGAGTTACTGCGCTGGAAACTTTGGGTTTCAACAGAGAAGATGAAGTGGTAGATGTCGAGGCTACAGTCTTGTTGCTTGAAGGATTTTGAGTCAGCTGATCAACAATAACATGAAGATTGCAATGAATAAGACTTCATATTATTCATTCAAAATATTTCTTCAATAATCAGGTCCCGGTTGCTAAAACGTT